CTTGAACCCCAGCCAGTGACGGCGGCAGTATTAAGAGCTCCATGACCGGCGCCACAGTCGACGACAGTATAAGCGGGCTAAGACGTCGCAAGCGGGGGAGGAACAGGAATCAGAACTGGGGGTTAAGAGAGTGGGAGGAAGTGTTTACACTGAGCAGTCGTAATAGGAGAGGTGGGGCATGCTGCTGATTGGAGAGACGTATGTGTGGTCGGCTGTGAGAAGCAAGAAATGCCTGGCCAGTGAAACCATTTGGCAAGGGTTCGTTTTCGAGTCACTGATCATGCATGTTGCTGTGTGCGATTCCATTTGTTATGTGCAGCGTTGCCGGCGTTTGGGAGAATAGATGTCTCGAGGAGAGACACTGCTGGAAGAAAGCAGCTGAGAGGCGGTTCTTGTTTCTCTTTTCCTGGACTCAAGACACCCTCATTGTCCTTGTCCTGATTTTGTTCGCCTTGGCATACTTTACCCCCTAGCTACGATATCCTATGAGCACATAATAATTAAACCTAGCCATTCGCTACGAGCTTTGCAGTATACGTATTACTCAACATTCCTGTACTCCAAATCGTTCACAAAACAAAATATCATCTTGGTGTATTCTGCACGGGGTAGGCCTGTCGCTGCATGTAACGTCACCGTCAAATGCATAGAAGACACACGCAGCCACGGGACGGCGGCGGGGCAGTTGGTGATTGGGGAGCTGGCGGCATCATGAATTCCCGTCTGGGGTCAGTCCACCTCGTCGCGCCGGATATATGAAGGGGAGCACAGGGCGACAAAGTATCTGATTTTAGAATGTAAAGCACACGATACGCTTACAAGAATACCACGGTTTTGTACGCAATCTCTGCATATCACTGTCAATACTCGCATGCAATTTGTCTTCGCTCAAGTCGTGGAACAATTTCTCGGATGCTCTTTCCCAAACTGCCATGCTAGAGCTACCTGCCCCTCACTGCCCCTCCATCGTCACACGCCGAGCTGTCAGCTTGTCAAGCACAATCGCTCCAGGTGAAATATCTCGTAGAGTCGGTTCTGTCAAAACCCAACTCTAAACTCCTTCTTTTTTATTCCCTCTTCCACAATCAGCCGCTTTATTGCTGTCGGCGCCGACCACAATACATCTGTTTGGAGAGGGATCGCAAATATCCTCACAATGCTTACGCGAACCATTATCCCCATCAACCAGAACTGGCAGTTCAAACAAGCCGACGAGGATGATGGTTCCTACCTGACCGTGTCTCAATTTCCCACACACATTCATCTTGATCTTCTTCACCATAAACTCATTCCAGATCCTTATATTGGCCAGAACGAAAACGAGGTCCAGTGGGTAGGCGAAACGGCCTGGGTATACAAAGCAACCTTCTCTTCACCAGAGAGCAATGGCAAGGCAAAGGCCGTACTTGCCTTTGATGGGCTTGACACTTTTTCCACAGTCGTCCTGAACGTCAAAAGGATACTTGAAACTGACAACATGTTTGTTTCTGAAAGAGTTGATGTCAGCGATGTATTGAGAAAGACCGGTGATAACGAGCTGGTTATTACGTTTGACGCTGCGTACCTTCGTGGCTGGAAGGAGGTTGAGAAACATCCAGATCACAAGTGGGGTTGCTGGAATGGGGATATTTCTCGTCTTGGTGTAAGGAAATCCCAGTACCATTGGGTAAGTCGGACTATTCACATGACATAGCCCAAGGCCAGAGTGTTAATATCTTGCAGGGCTGGGATTGGGGTCCCGAACTGATGACCTGTGGTCCCTGGCGACCGGTTCACTTGGAATTGTACGAATCTCGCGTGGCTGATTTGCATGCTGAAATTGATGTTGAATCTTCTCTCAAGAGCGCCAGAGTTGTAGCTCATGCTGTCGTTGAGGGAACCGCATCGCATGTACGCTTTAACATATCTCTCGGCAACAAGAGCGGGTCGTCCGAGACAGTTAACATTGAGAACGGTGAGGCTGTGGCTACATTTAAGGTCCAGAACCCGGAGCTCTGGTATCCAATTCGATATGGCAGCCAGCCACTCTACACTATTAAGGCGACTTTACTAAACGAAAGTGCCGAGGTGGACTCTTCGTCCAGGAGGATCGGTCTGCGCAAAGTTGAGCTAATTCAACGTCCTCTCCTTGACCAACCCGGAACAACATTCTTCTTCCAGGTGAACAACATTCCTATTTTTTGCGGAGGCAGCAACTGGATTCCTGCCGACAATTTCATACCTCGTATATCGAAGGAACGATACTACGATTGGGTCAAGATGGTAGCGAATGGCAACCAGTTCATGCTGCGTGTATGGGGCGGGGGCATCTATGAAGAAGAACCTCTTTATGATGCATGTGATGAGCTTGGTATCTTGGTCTGGCAAGACTTCATGTTTGGCTGTGGAAACTACCCGGCGCATACTAACTTCCTGAAATCAGTTGAGCGAGAAGCTCGTCAAAACGTCAAGAGACTGCGACATCATCCCTCAATAGTTATTTGGGCTGGGAACAATGAAGATCATCAGTATGCTGAGAGTGAAAAGCTGAACTATGATCGAAGAGATGAAAATCCCGACAATTGGCTACATAGCGATTTCCCTGCGCGATATATTTACGAAAAAGTCCTACCAGATGTATGCAAGGAATTGATTCCAAGTACCTACTATCATCCAGGGAGTCCTTGGGGTGGTAAAAACACCACCGATCCAACGGTCGGGGATATCCATCAGTGGAACGTCTGGCATGGCTCAAAAGAGAAGTACCAAAACTTTGACAAGCTCGTTGGTCGATTCGTATCCGAATTCGGAATGGAGGCTTTCCCATCCATCAAAACTATCGAGTCGTACCTACCCAAGGGTAAGAATGACCCTGAACGATTTGCTCAGTCTGCTACCGTCGACTTCCACAACAAGGCTGCTGGCCATGAGCGCCGCCTCGCTTTGTACTTGGTGGAGAACATTCGCTACGCCCCCGATCCTTTGGAATACTACATATACTGTACGCAGTTGATGCAAGCTGAATGCATTTCGTCGGCGTACCGACTATGGAAGCGAGAATGGAGAGGTCCCGGGCGCGAGTACTGCGGCGGCGCTCTCGTGTGGCAGATCAATGATTGCTGGCCAGTGACGTCTTGGGCGATTTGCGACTATTATCTGCGCCCAAAACACGCATATTACACGGTCAAACGAGAAATGGCACCCATCTCGGTTGGCATGACACGACGAGAGTACACTCATGCCAAGGACAAGTATACTCGAGTTCACATTGAGAGAGAGATTAAGATTGAGGTCTGGGGATCCAACCTGAATCTGGAAGACTTGACAGCAGACTGTGTCGTCAAGGCTTGGGATGTAGAGACTGGACGCGAAACATATTCACACACCGTCTCTGCAAGGCATTTCTTCCCAGCCAATGCTTCAACCGAGATCCTCTCGATGAACGTCCCCGTCGCCAACAAGAATGTGGGTGAAAAAGGTAGAACAGTGATCGCGGCATATTTATACCAAGAGGGCAAGCAAATCGCCCGCTATGTCAACTGGCCAGAGCCACTCAAGTACTTGCACCTTCAGAAGCCAAAGCATCTGAGGGCGGAACTTTGCACGGCAAGGAATGCAATTGAACTCAGTGCCGAAGTGCCGGTCAAGGGTGTCGCGGTGGAGTGCGACGACGACAGGGTCAAGTTTGATGATAACTTGATCGACCTTGTGCCAGGTGAAATCGTGTCTATTGGCGTGAAGGGAGTAGGCAAGGACACTAAATTTACGACACAATATTTGAACATGTTAAACTGAAGGTAAACATGCTTTGAAAAATCACTGAATCCATGGATTGATGGACGTGTTAGTTGAAATGAAAAATTGAAAAGTTATTCCAAGATGTCAGACTTGACACAATGAGGTGCTATTCACCTAAAATGGCGAATCTGGGGATGGGATGACAAGATGTGCGGAGTCATTAATCAGCAAAGTCCGTTGGCAATCGAATTCACAAAGGAGCCAACCACTTGGCAGCCACAAAAAAGCAAATGGCAATCCGGTCACCATGCAGGGTTGATTATGAGAAGTGTGTGCGGGATTTGGGGGGATGATCTGCCGTGGAGGTTGATTAATAATGCCAATTAGAGCATCACGTATAAGTGGTATCTGTCCGTGAGATTTACTTACTATATAACTTCACAAAGCGCCAGACACGCAATTGCAAAACCCCTCGGCTACACCAAAAGTAGCTAGCGACTAACAGGCGCTATTCTCGTCTTGGAATCGCAGCCCGGAATAACACAAACTGCATTGAGAGTGTACAACCCAGACTTCCCAAATACCATGGCGGCCATCCGCACCGCAATCATCGGCCTGTCCTCGACGGCCATCACGTCATGGGCATCAACTGCCCATTTACCCTGCCTCGTCACACCCACAGGCCAGACCAAATTCGAAATTGTCGCCCTGCTCAACAGCTCCGTGTCGGCCGCCGAGTCGGCCATTAAAACGTATAACCTCCCTCCCCAAACAAAAGCCTACGGATCCCCCGAGGATCTCGCCGCCGACCCGGACGTCGACCTGGTCATTTGCAATACCCGCGTCGACAGGCACTACGAGACGGTCCTGCCCAGCGTTCGCGCCGGCAAGGACGTGTACATAGAGTGGCCCATTGCTTCGACAGAGTCCGACATCAGGAGCCTTGCGGAGGAGGCGCGGAGGAGCGGTTCAACGACGCTGGTCGGGCTGCAGGGGCGATGGGCCGCCCCGGTGCTCAAGCTGAGGGAGCTGCTGGACGCAGGGGCGATTGGCAAGGTGCTGAGCGTGGACGTGAGGGCGTACGGGGGCACCAAGGACAGGGAGATGTTGCCCGTGGGGTTGAAGTATTTTGCCGACAGGGACGTTGGCGGGAATCCAATCACGATTGGGTTCGGACACGGTGAGTTTTTGTATCTTTTTGTTTCTGATGGTGCGGCGTGCTGACCTCGGCAGTGTTTGACTTTGTGCAGTCTGTTGTCGGGGACGTGGTTCCCGAAACTACCGGCTCGCGGCTCCAGCTCCAGCGACGGCAGGTTCGTGTTCGTAATCCGGAGAGCGGGGAGGTGGTTGAGACGGTGCAGTCGAATGTTCCTGATTTGCTTCACTTGCATGGTACGTCATTCCGCGCTTGCGCGACCTGAACCGACGGCTGAGATTTTGTGTAGGTCGCCTGGCCGCGTCTCCTCGGACGGATGCCAATGCCACGCTGGCATTCGCGTTTCGTCGCGGGCAGCCGTTTCCGGGGACGCCGTCTCTGACGTGGAGCATCTACGGGGCGGGCGGCGAGATCCGGCTGGTTGCGCCGGCGGGCATTTCGCTGCAGGCAGAGGCCTACGACGAGCCGGTGACGATACAGGTGCACGACTTTGAGACGGACACGGTGCGAGACGTCAGGTGGGACTGGACAGATGTCGAGAAGCAGGTTCCCATCCGGGGGAGGTCGGTGCAGAGGGTGCTGTATGCGTATGCGGACTGGAAGCAGGGGAAGGGTGACGGGGCAGGGGCTTGGGTTGGTGTTGACGATGCAGCCGCGAGGGCTTCCCAGATTCAGAAGCTCCTGGATGGGTTTGAAGGTTGATTGTGTTTGGCAGGGCTCCATGCTAGGTCGGACAAACTCAGGATGGTTGCCGCCACGTAAAGGACACCAGGTTCAGACGGTGCTGTATTTGAAACACAACTCGGATATTATGAGCCAGTGTCTTTGCCGGTGTGCCTGTAGTTTTCCTGGGGAGATGCCGACATTGTAAGCAAGAAGGGTTTGTAAGAGTGGCAGCCAGACTTGACCAAGCCTCCACCACCGCCGGACCTCCGGATCTGACGCATCCACACCGGGACTTGCGGAAGCGGAGTGGATCCTTGGCTAGTACGTGTACGTGTGCTCGATAAGCCAAGTACTTGGTATACATGCACGTATAAGCAAGCCAACACCTTCCCCCCTCCAGCCTTATTACATCATACGAAACCCGTTTTTGTCCGTTTTGTTTTTCCCGGAAAAACAACGCGTTCCCAAGCCCTACCAACGCGGCACAAGAGCGCGGTCGACACGATGCAAAAAGTCAAGTCGAAACTGCCCTCGTGGGACACCACCAAGACCCAGAGCAAGAAGGGCTTCGACAAGGCATGGGGCCTGCTGGATAAGCTCGGCGCCCCGGTCAACCGGTGGACAAACAAGATTGGCAGCGAGGCGTTCTGGCCGACGACGCTGGACAAGGAGAGTTACAAGGCGGCCAGGATACTGAGATCATTCTGCAGTGAGCATCCTCTCGCTCTCTACATCTTTCCACTGCTCCTTGACTAACACGAGGGCGCAGAGGACGGCTTCTACACCGACGACGGACCGCCCACCGACCAAGCCGGGCCGAAGAAGGCGCCCAAGGTCATCAAGAAGATTCCCCAAAAGGTTATAGAAAATGCCGTCGGGCTCGCCATATTCACCACGATGCGCACCGGCCTCTGGGTCTCCGGGGCCGGCGGATCCGGCGTGCTCGTCGCCCGTCAAGAGGACGGCACGTGGTCGCCGCCGTCGGGCATCATGCTGCACACGGCCGGGCTGGGATTCCTCGTCGGCGTCGACATCTACGACTGCGTGCTGGTCATCAACAACCGCAAGGCCCTCGAGGCGTTCACCAAGATCCGCGCCACGCTCGGGGGCGAGATCTCGGCCGTCGCCGGCCCCGTGGGCGTCGGCGGCGTCGTCGAAAACGACGGCAAGTGGAAGCAGGCCAACAGGCCCGTCTTCACCTACCTCAAGTCGCGGGGCTTCTACGCGGGCGTCCAGGTCGACGGCACCGTCGTCATTGAGCGCAGCGACGAGAACGCCCGGTTCTACGGGGAGAAGATTGGCGCGGCGGACATCCTGGCGGGCAAGGCGAGGCACCCGCCGCCCGAGATCAAGATGCTCATGGAGACGCTGAGGGCGGCCGAGGGCAAGGCCGACGTGGACGGCGCCATGATGGACGAGCTGGACGGGCAGCTGGCGCCGGGAGACCTCAGCATCCAGGAGCCGGACCCGGACCCGGACGGGGCCGTGTTTGGCGTCCCGGAGCCCGACGACCCCGACCCGTACGGCGTGCACGCCCTGGAGAGGGAGGGCCTGGAGATACTCGAGGCCGGGACCAGGCAGAGGCCGTCGAGCCTGCAGTTCGAGTATCACCCCAGCCCTTCCAGCCCTACCTATGGCAGGTTCTACCGGAGGAGCATGGACACGGCGGTCGGGGGCGCCACCCCTGTGAGTGCCGCGTCGGGGTCGAGCTCGCCTTGGAGGCGGGCCGTCGGTGCGTATGCTTCGTCCGACGCCGGGACGCAGACGGATGATGTGGTCGTTGTTGCCGGCGGCCACTCTGACGACGGCTTTGAGCGGCAAGACGTGCGGCGCAAGGATGGTCATGCCGAGCCCGAGCACTTCTACGATGTCACTGACGGCGAGAACGACGTGTTTGTCAACGGGGGGAATCCGTGGAAGACAAAGGAGGTGGATAGGGATTCTGGCGTTGCGATAGACGAGAGCGAGAGACTGGAGCTGGCGAGAGAGCCTGCGTCAAGGGAGGCAGAGGAAGTAGAAGATCGAGAACAAGAAGCACACGGGCCTGCGCTGCAGAAAGCACGCCGCGAGCCGCCGCCATTGCCGCCGCGAAAGTTGACGTAGGTTGGGGTTGGTGTCTTTATGTATGACTTTGTCATTTGTTGGTGGCTTCGTGCGAAGAAGAAATGGATACAGTGAGATAAATGCGTATGCTTGGAGATATTTCTGCGTACAGACACAGTAAAGGCTCTTTATACCGACTTGAGACTTATCCGAAGGTTCCTACTTGTTGTGAAGCTTGACAAATGCCTTGCAAATGACGATGTTGTTTCCGGTGTTGGATATCCGAGCCCTCCTGGCAAAGCCTATGCTTGCAGGACTAGTTCTTTCAGTGCAGAATTCTGACACTAGTATGGTGCTGTATTTCTACAGCTGTGGCGGTATCGTCCAGAGGAAAAAGTATTCCATGAATTTCTTTTTCTTCAACGTCTGCTCCCCGTATCTGTGTAGTTACGCAGGACGCATATGCTCATTCCTCACTCGACACCGCAGCCCCCTACACGCTTCACTTCAACCGACCACTGCACCTGAGGGATGGTAGGCTTTTTATAGGTAATTGTGATGCTGTGAGGGCGGAACTCTTACCGGCCTGCGACGGGCCCATATTAGTATCTAGAGAGTCAATCCTTCCAGAGCTGTGAATTCAGAAAAGTTACACGAGGCAGAATCGCTGTTCAGAGTCCTGGAAACAGAGCCAATGGTTTTCAAGGGCATGTCTGTGCCTGTCGAGGGTATACCGAAAGTGCGCGCAGTCAAAGCAGGCATCGCCAGTGGCCGTGTCGAATCGAAACTAGACACCAGACATCAATTTATACAAAACTGCGGGTACCCGCTGCATTTACATACCAGTTGACATTTCAGGACCCGTGGTTACCCATTTTTGCACTCTAATCGAAACTTTCAAGCGCCTGGCAGTGTTTCCGGTGGGAGTGGAAACCCGCTGGCATCAGTGAGGTGATGTTGCATTCGTTGGATTCCTCGGGAAGACGTCGTGATGCTCCAGTCCTGAGTCGTTTCTGGACACGTACAGAACTCGGCAGTGCTGGTCCAGGGCGGGATGCTCGACGAAGGCCATGGCGTTTATGATCTTGTAGCAACGGCGGTCCGTCTCTCGACTGGTGCAAGATGGCGGCATTCAGAGGGTGCCAACGGAGTCCCAGTGCCACGGCAATTGATGCCGTCCATGACAAGTTAGTTGACGGCTGGCGCCTCGTCCAGGAGTCGATGCTCCATGTCACTGGAGGCTGCTGACTCAGCAACTCGAACTATCCGAGATGGAGTCGGCATTTTACTGTTCTGACAAGGAATCAATTTTTTGCTCCTCTTCCCACAGCAAGACATCGGCACCATCACCACTGCCAGCCCTCCGCGCGCTCCCATAGCCCGCACGGGCTCAATACGCAGTGCGTAGATCGTCTCCGGTAGGTCGCTCCCTCACATTTCCTACTTCCTTGCTCGTCTCCGTAGAATCGCAGCACCCCATGGCCAGTCATTCGGTTGTCAACGAATCCTTCTCGAAGGGTCTTCCCCAAGGAGGGCGTTTTGTGCTCCTTGGATGAAGTAGACTGGCCCGCTGGGCAAATCGTCCGTCTCGGCGCTTTGTGTACATGTTGCAAGATGGACCGGACCGTCATAGTCCACGCCTGTCTGCCTTTCACCGTCTTCTGCCGGTGTTTTGGCAATGTTTTTTTCTTACATGGGCGTGGCTCCTTGAGTACCGACATTGGAACACGAACCGTGCGTCCTGCCGCTGTAGAACTTGGCAGGCATCATGCGCATAGGTCCAAATGTGTAAATGATGTTTGACGTAGATTAACTTGGCGCGCAATGACTCTCCTTGATCCGGACGTTCCTTGATAAATTCGGCGCGCCGCGAATCCATGGCACGACGCCGGAAGTTACGCGGCCCGATTTCTTTTCGAAAAGACCACCACGTCTATCACCGCTCTAAAAAGTCTTGACGACTCCATCTCCATCACCGCGCACAAATATCCCCGTCTGTAAGTCTCTCATGATTCATTTACGCAAGGGATGATTTTTTGGCTCGGACTCTATTCCGAGTCCGGTGAAGATATTACGACCCGCCCGCACACAGTTGGCATGACGAGTCTGCGGGTGAACACCTAGGTATTCTACCACCTGCTTCATCAAGTAGTAAATACATATGTTAAGAATAACAGGACGAATAACTTGGTCGTATGAATCTTTAGTAGCTATAGTTATTTGGAGTAAGAAAACTGACAACTTACTTGCAGCTACACTCGCCTTGGAAAAAGACATGAAACCAGCACAAGAAATGTCGATATTTACTGCATAATGGTGGGTGGGCGTTGCAGGTGGACGAGTTTGGTATCACTGATGACTCGCTTTTTAATTTACTGCATAATTGTGGGTGGTCGTTACAGGCCGGCCAATTTGGTATGACCTATGACTCGCTTTCTAATAGTTGTCGTAACAACATAACTAGATAGCTGTAGACTAGGTAAGTAGGCTCGTCAGGTCAAGCTATATATGAAGGAGATCTTCTCAACTCATCTACTGCTTTCCTGGCTACTAGATTTATTCACAAAGATTTTCACGCATTCACTCAACGCCTCCTGTCAGCCAACTTGAGAAAATGAAGCATCTTGGCATTATTCTTACTGCTTGTGCAGGCCTAGCTATAGCCGCGCCAGCCCTTGATCTTCAACCGACTACTGGAGGTGAAAAGGTATGTGCCCAGTTTAACGAGTGGTCTCCCAAGGTATTCGTCTCGGAAGTAAAGAGACTGCCTTCAGCTACGTATGCCGTCGATGGTATTTCGAAATGCAAGACTGACAGTTTTTGGTAATAGACCTGTGCACGCCACAGTGACTGTGGTGCCGGACTTTATTGTGTACATCAATGCGGAATGCCAATTGATGAAGTTGGGAATGTCGCTTGTCTTATAGGAGGTTCTCCAACCTGTACGCCGGTCGAGAAGCAGGTGGAGCAGCAGAAGAAGCAGCAGGAGCAGCAGAAGAAGCCGCAGGAGCAGCAGCCAGGCCCTAATCCTCAACCGACTGCTGGACCTCAAAAGGTATGTGCCCGATTTTGCGAGTCGTCTCAAGCTATACGTCTCTCGGAAGTAAGGAGATGGCTTTTGCCTAGCCTGGACGCATGCCGTTGATCGCATTTCAAAATGCAGGACTAATAGTTTTTGGAGGACTGTAACGGAATACGAATGAAAACATTTCGAGAGTGCCGAGAGAGGGATCCTGATGACTTCAATGGGTGCGTCCAGGAAGGACAAGATGCCTTCAATAAATGCCAAGCCTAGGCAATGATGGAACGCGGCACAAAGGACAGCCGCATGTACAAGTCTTTAGATTTAGACTGACATGACCGTCCGCTAAGGCTGCTTGTTAGGTATCTGTCTCATAAAAACTGCCTCTGTTGATGGAAACACGCCAGCGCTTTTGCCACCAGAGTGGCAAGTGGCAACAGTATTCCACAAGTAGTCAAGTATCTTGAGTTTCTGCAGTTCAGGAGAGGGGAAAAGGAAGAAAAAGAAGAAGGATGATTTTATAAAGAAGCCTAGTTACAAATGAGTCTCATAACGTGTGTCATGTCCCAAAATCGGGTATTTGGGCCGTACGTGGAAGCTAGCAGGCCGGATTTGACCTCTTTTTTATAGAGCCTTTTGGCTAGTATTATCTAGGAAACAATAACAAGCACACATAACAGCCGTCTCTTTTACTAGGCATCGTACGGCAGCTTCAGCAGCTACTACCGACCTTCCAAAGGGAACAGTACCTAGATATACCAACGGGACTTCAATTGACCGGCCGCTACAACACCTCCTTCTGCAGCCTTCCTTTTTCCTTTCTTTTCAATTCTACAGCCGCCGTAAGCGACCTCCCGGCGGCAGTCTTGTTCTTTTCAACGAGCCAGTCGCAAACTACCGGCCCGGCCCGACCGTCAAACGCAATAATCGCCCTCGAGAGACTAGATCAACAAGAGCAGCAGCGGTTTTAACAGCTCAATCGCAAGGATCAGCAGCGACGAACCTGCGGTATCTGCCACAAGACGGTCTCTCGGCGTTTCCCAGAGCCCTGTCCAGCTAGCCCTTGATATCGCGAGTACCAGCAGTAGCTACAAGGGAAGATCCGAGTCCTCGGGGACGAATTGGCTTCACGCCGTTAGGAGACAAAGCAGGACGGGCAGTCAAGAAGAATAAGCGACCAACTTTGTACTCCAAGTGTCATTGATTTTTGCTATATATCTATTGCAAATATATATATTCCCGGGAGCTCATTGCAAATGAGATGCCCGCAAGGCATTTGCCCCATGGTGCCTACTACGCCCATCATGGCATTGGTAGAAACAAAGGTGGTGTAGTTGGGCGTTGCTAACCAAAAAAGCTCATCTGATCAATTCAAGTGCCCGCCCTGTACGTCATCATTCACTTACACCCACCCAGTCTCACATGCACACAATCCGTTTCACTCAACACCGTAGCTCTCATCGTCAACCAAGTGCCCGGACATCTCGGAAACAACTTATCAAGAGAGAGAGAGAGAAAATGGTTTCCAGAAAAGATTCCCAGTTCGGCCATCTCACCCTCAACACCACGGGCCCCATCCCATGCGCTCTCCGGGGCCAGGCCGTCCTCAACACGCCCTACTTCAACAAGGGCTCTGCCTTTCCCGCCCACGAACGCCGCGTATTCAACCTCACCGGCTTGCTGCCGCAAAACGTCCAAACGCTGCAAGAACAGGCCAAACGAGCCCACGAGCAGTACCTCTCGCAGACGAACGACTTGGCCAGGAATACGTTTCTGGCCTCGCTGAAGGAGCAGAATGAGGTGCTGTACTACAAGGTATGTGTTGACATTATCGCCCCAGCGTCATAGCAAGTACATGGACTGAAATGGGACAGTAGCTGCTGCAGGATAATCTAAAGGCCATGTTCAGCGTGGTCTACACCCCCACAGAAGGAGATGCCATCCAGAACTACTCGCGGCTCTTCAGACGGCCAGAGGGTTGCTTTCTGAACATTAATGATACCGAGAGGGTCTTCCACGACCTAGCAATGTGGGGGGAGGCAGACGACATCGACTACATAGTCGTTACAGGTGAGGGTTCCTTTTAGCCCGGGCCCGTCTGCACAGCGAGGGTCTCTTCATACTAACGGCGTCATGTCTTTGCTGCTCGGTAGACGGGGAGGAGATCCTAGGAATAGGCGACCAAGGCGTAGGCGGAGTGCTCATTTCCGTGGCCAAGCTCGTTCTCGCCACGCTCTGCGCGGGCGTCCACCCCAGTCGCTGCCTGCCCGTCGTGCTGGACTGCGGGACGGACAATGAGCATCTGCTCCGCGACGAGCTGTACCTCGGTCTCAGGGAGAAGCGGGTTCGGGGAGAGAGATACGACGAGTTTGTGGATTCCTTTGTGCGCGCCGCGAGGACGCTGTACCCGCGGGCGTACATTCACTTTGAGGACTTTGGGCTGCCTAATGGTAAGGGATGTTATTTTTTCCCACCATCCGTAATCAGGATACGGCTGACGATTTTTTTTTTTTCCGTTGTCGTACAGCCAGACGGATCTTAGACACGTACCGTCCCAGAATGGCGTGCTTCAACGACGACGTCCAGGGGACAGGGTGCGTGACGCTCGCCGCCATCATGGCAGGTCTGCACGTGTCGGGGCAGAAACTCGCGGATTTGAAAATGGTCGTCTTCGGCGCGGGCAGCGCGGGCATCGGAATCGCAGACCAGGTCCGGGACGCCATTGCCGCAGAGGGCGGCACGTCTCCCGAGGAGGCTTCCCGGCAAATATGGTGAGCGTATCTCTCCTCCTGCCACTCCCAATCCCTCCCGCTAACAGCATGTGGTGATAGGCTCATCGACAGACCTGGCCTTCTCACCACGGAAACAAAAGTTTCCGATGCCCAGCGGCCCTTTGCCAAAAACGCAGCGGATTGGGCTGGCCAAAGGACGGACCTGCTCGGCGTCATCCAGGCCGTCCGCCCCAACGTGCTCATCGGCACGTCCACCGTGCCTGGGGCGTTCACGCGGGACGTCGTCGCCGAGATGGCCAGGCACGCGGCCCGGCCCATCATTTTCCCCCTCAGCAACCCTACGCGGCTGCACGAACAGACGCCCGAGCACCTTTTGCAATGGACACGGGGCAAGGCGCTGGTGGCAACGGGCTCGCCGTTCGACCCCGTCCAGGGGCCGTGGGGCGCCGGCGGCGAGCAGGCAACGATGGAGATTGCCGAGTGCAACAACTCGGTGGTGTTCCCGGGCATAGGGCTCGGCTGCGTCCTGTCCAGGGCCCGGCTCCTCACGGACAAGATGCTCGTCGCGGCGGTGCAGGCCGTCGCCGCCATGAGCCCGGCGCTCAGGGATCCCACCGCGCCGCTGCTGCCGGACGTAGGGGACGTGAGGGACGTGAGTCTGCGGGTGGCAATGGGCGTCGTCAAGGCCGCCGTGGAGGGGGGCGTGGCGACAGAGGACGGCATACCCTCCGACGACCATCAGCTGCGCGAATGGATCAGGGTCCAGATGTGGGAGCCGAGGTATCGCGACTTGGAAAAGGTGGAAATGGAGGGCGCAGGCCGCGCTGCGAGGGGAGATCTGAGAAAGGCCGGCACTGTGGATAGAATGTCTGACATGTCAGCCTAGGAAAGTCTTTTTTTTTTTTCTCAGTTACTCACAACAGTGCAACAGTAAAAGATGACGGTCGTGAATTCCGCCTGATATGCCAAGGTGATGCCGGCATCTATGGACCTCGACCTGGCAAGGGGCAATGCAACTTGCCCAGGCTATAGGAGTCGAAAAATATCCATGGTAGCGATATACGGTCACGTAACCTTTTTCCGTCAACTCGGCTCGGGTTTAATGGAACTCTGCTTCCTACTTACCTAGTTCGCAGCACACTCGCAGTATCCTTGCCCATGCAATTTGCATGCCGGCAAAATGATTCAAAATGTGGCCCGCCGGGCGTTGGACACGGATACAGCAAACACACATGTATTATTATGCCAACAGCATACCGCTGCAGTACTCAAAATTGATTATTCTTTGTGGCATTTCGAAAATAACTGCTTCCGAGTTCCCAACTCCAAATCCTTGGCACCTGCAAGGAGATCGAACCAAAACACACCCAGGTCACCCATCGGCCTAGATTATCCCAGCTCTTGCCACCTCTCCAGCATTGGCCTCAACAAGCTCATCCACCCTCTTCTTGCCTCGCCCAAGACCCCCTTCGCCCACACCCATTCGTCGGGCAACGTATCGCTGGGCAACTACACCTACTGACAGACACAACGTCTCCTCGATCCATTCGGCCACCCACTCGCGTGGATCGACACCGCCACTTTCGATAATATCCTTGATGTCTTCTGGGATACCGGCGTCGAAGGGGTTGTCCTGGCTTTCGTCGCCGGAACGGGGAGTCAGGGGAGAGGCAGCGTCCAGCCAGCGTACCCATTTTGAAGGAACACTCTGGCTGACTGTTGAAAATTCAATCTCGTGAATCGGGTCGAGAACATAGACGGCAAAGCACACAAGTTCATCCGTATCGTCCTGCTCCTTTACAGCCGATGTCTCCTTCTCCTTCACTGCCGAGGCGGAGCCAGCAAACAATGCCTTGTCGCTGTCTGTAGAGATGGCCTGCACAGACAAGAAGATATCTGAAGTCCGCACCGGATTGCTCTCGCTCAGATCTTCTGTAGCCCGAGTCTTGGCTTGCTCAATGCCCCCGTGGGAGGCAAAGTATTCATTCGCATACGACTCGGCGCCGGCACGGCACAGCTTGGTACCCTCAATCATGCCCTTCACCAGTCCAAGCTCTCGAGTGGAATCAGTCTGGCGCCACCAGGGACCATCACGCCAGCCCGCAGAGCCATCGCTGTAGCGTCCAGAGCTGCTCTCGCGGCCTCGCTGTACAACGAGTAAGTCGCCGCCTTCGACTTGCGACATGACACGGGAAAAGACTCCGTGGACCAAGGGGTCCAACGACGGATATCCGACAAGATCATGGGTAATGTGAATCATGAGTCTCTCGTGGGACGAAATTGGCGGTGCAAGAGTATGGAGGATGTTGGTAAACGTAGGCAACGCTCGGCTTCGCAACTCGTCACCTAAAGGTTGTTAGCAACAACTGTCGTTCATTGTCCGTCTCCCCTGAACACGCACCATAGTTACGCAGAGCCCCAACATCGATGCCCCCTGATAAGCCCCGAACTTGGTCAGCCCATTTCTTTGCTTCTTCATTTTGTTGAATCTCTTTGTAGGCATTTTCAGCCTGCTTCATGACGCCAGTAGCCGTTGACAGGATGCCTCCCCACCATCCTCCGCCGCTCTGCTGTTGAGGTGGCTCAGCGACAACCTTCTTCTCGGCCTCAGGAAGCTCAGAGCTAGTGGCGCTAGGCGTCAAGTTCGCTCTCAAGCTTCTGGCACTTTCGGTAGACTTGCGAACACTAGGCGCTGGTGCTGCTGCTGCTGTGGCCTTGTCGTCGCCAACTGGGGGTGTGCCAGCTGGCCGTCTAACACCTCGGGGAGTGTGCGGACGTGATGCTGGCTGCTCAGACGCAAGCTGAGACTCGAGGTCAGCCAGGATGTCATCATCGTCCTGTGTCTTGGACGCTGATGAAGCCGTTTTGGTAGACTTGGGGTTTGACGATTTCTTGGACTTGGCGTCGTCCCCGATGCCTTGGAAGAGCTCATCGAGGTTGTCGTCGGCAGCAGAGGTGGCCGCTTTCGTCTTTTTCGAAGCCATAGCTCTGCGTTGGTCTCTTCTCGCGATCTAGCAAGCAATTATGCAATCCGGTGTATGACAAAGAAATTGGAGCTTTGACCAGAATGCGGAAGGGGAGCTTGGTATATAAGGGAGTACTCAGCAAGATGTCAAGCGTTTGAGGTTGTCGGTGGGGTGAGGTTGGTTGCTTGGTGTGTTCGAGGTGTGTAAGACTGGAGTGGAGGCGCCTGGCTTCCATGTCCGGCTTCCCGGGGGGGGGCTTTCCGGCTAAGAAATGACGCTGGCTTGGACAAGCTGGTCAACTTACACCAGCCTTCCACGTCCCGGCGCACGGGATCAGGCAGGCTGCTCGTCGCATGACACGTGCATGGCATGGTGAGCTTCAAGGGTCTAAGCGGCTCAGAAAGCAGGACAGCCTGTCGTGGCCCGTGTCCTCGGAGTGAATCACGCATTCAGCGCCAGCAGATTTTACATGTATACGGAAATCAAATACCTTCCTCCAGCATATGAAATGCAATTGTGAACTCTCAAGTGTTACTGCCCCTTCAAAGTTTTGCTGGTGCGTCCCAAGGTGCGTTGTACTCCGCTTTACCACTTGGACGACGGGAGCATCGTCTCCCCGCCCCAAAGAGGACTAGGGGTGCACATCCTTCCCGACACCAGCCGCTCTGATTGGCCGGGTCGGCCACCCAACGGAGGAACCCCGGGGAACCTGTACCCAAATTGCATGCCCACACAGGCACTTGAACAGGCACTTGGCATCTGGTGCTCCCAAACTGCTGTCCCCCAGGTGGCACGAGCAGCAGCCCAGTGCCCGCCACAGAAGGGCCTTACAGCGGACTCTGTCCACTGTCCACCCGCCTACCAGCCCCGAAGACGCCTAAAACGGAGGGCCTGTGGCGCAGGTGTTGGCTGTTGGCGCGGTGGTTGACGTGGTTCACACCAGATTGACACCAGACAACTTAAAGTACCATCCAGGCGCCCCAAGGCCCTCCCAAGCCTTCCAGCGAAGAGGTACGTACCTCCACGGGACCCGCAGTTGGCCTTGTCAGGAAACTGGGTCTTGGCTTATTCGGACCACGACACCTTGAGAAAAACGATGGCCAGGAGACTGGCTGGTTTAACAACGACACGGGCGACGACGCATTGAAAAGTCTCTGATATTGTCGGGCTGCATCACCGCCGTGGCCATCAGCGCTTCTCCAGGCCGCGTGTGCTTTGTTCGGCGCTCTCCTTTTTGTTCCTTGAGCCTGCTGCCCATTTGTCATTGTCCGTGTTTGCCTTTCAAAATTCTCTCCTGCGCCGACATTGGCTCACTCATGGTATTGTGGCCCGGCTCATACAAAGCCTTGCCTCTCCCCTTCTTGATTCATCCCGCGGCCTCACGACCTCGAGTCACTTCACCCCTCGTGGCCGGGCTGTCCATCGCCGCCTGAGCATTTGCTCGCCACCTGATTCCCTGATCCCCCGTGTGCCTGTCTCCCGGATGGTTGGCCTCTTACACATTGCCCCCTTCTTCTTACACGCTTGCTCCCCGCAACACGCTGGCTGCTCCGGCTCGACATGGACCGCGCTCGTCGAACGGCAGCAAGCACACGTCGCAAAACCCTCGGCGACTCTACCTCTCCTCAGTCTACTCCTCCCGAGAGTATATCTGATCATCCCTCTGCGAGCCCTGTAATGGCGCATGCCTCGGCGGCAAACAGCCCCCAGCCCGCGACTCAGAGCAGGCGCGGAAGCAAAAGTCTTCACCACACTTTCACTTTCTCAACCCCAGCCTCGGGCAATCGTGGCCAGGGTGTCAAGCGCCGTTCTAGAACCATGGACAGCTACGGCATCCATGATGATGAGTTTGACGACGACAGTCCTAGGAAAGGTGGCCACACACTTCGCAAACGGGCTCGTGTGGATTACACATTTGAGCACGTAGACGACGAGGTCGTCGTGCCCAGCTCCACGTCTTCAGCTCGCACCAAGAAGCGAAAATCAGATCACAGCTACGAATCAGAAGAGTTTTATGCCTCCAGCGCCAAGAGACGCGGCGCCTCACTCGGCGCTGATGCTTCCAGCAATGTGCGAAGAAATCCTGCTCGCAGTTCGGCCCTCGGAAGGGCCGACCATGGCGATGATGAAGACGTAAAGGATACCATTGAAGTTGGTGTCTCTTTCTCCGATATGGACGAGTCAGAGGTCCGCCGTGGCAGTCATTCAAGTACCTCGTCCGCTGGCCAGTCTTTGGACGGCTCGTGGAAGTCTGCGCCCGCGGTATCCAATTTTGGCGGCCTATACTCAAATGACAAGAGTACAAACAATGACGAGCGTCCAAATGTTGAGACTCAAGACATGGACATTGATCCCAACCTTCGAGCAAGCCCTCCCCCCCCGTCATCTAAGCAACCTACTACCACCACTGAGCCCATTGAGGCTCAATCAGAAAGCACAGATACCCCAAAGGTCAATGAGCCTGCCAACGTCTCTTCTAACAAAGCCGAAGAAAAGCCTGAGGTTTCCGACACTAAAATTGCTGAAATCACCAACGCAGAAACACCTCCAGTCGCCACACAGGATGAGCCCGCCACCGCCAAGGCGGAGACGGTGGCCGAATCGGAAACATTGGTAGAGGAGCAAACTGAAGACAATGTGGCACCTACTTCTGATGTTGCTGTTTCCGATGAGATGAAGGACCCTACGTCGGAAAACAACGACCTTGTCTCCTCCGAACTTCCCAAAGAAGACGAGGTCGAACAGTCTGTTAAAGAGCCAGTGGTAACCGAACCATCACCACTGAAATCACAGTCTACTACTGCAGAGCCCATGGATATATCCTCAGCCAAACAGTCTCCCTCAGTAGGCGCTATTGATAAAGTCGTCTCAGAAGAAGCAACCACTCTGGATGCAAATGAAGATTCAAACACCAAGGGTAGTCCGCCTGCGGAACCGCCTTCGATAGTGCCATCTATATCGGTGGAGGAGGTTGTGGATCCCAAAATGGAAGATCTCAAAGATCAAGAAACTCCGCGACAGGAGCGCAAGGCATCACCAGAATCGATTGTGACTGAAGTCAAGGATAAGGCTGCAGAAGACTCGGATACTCTAAGTCCCGAGAAAAAGGAAATCTTCAAACCCAAAAAACCATCACAACTGGGACCAAGTAGGCCTCAGCCGGCTCCCGTCGGTCGCTGGGCTTACTTGACACCATACATGGATGGTGAATATGTCTCATATCCCGAAAAGAAGGCTCGTTCCGACGATGAAGCCGGCGGAGATGAGACTACCACAGACGACAAGGATGGTGATAAAGATGGCAATGATATGGAACCCATGGTGGAGGACAACGACGACGCTCCAGACCCCTCAGGCATCGAAGCGCCAACACCTGCCCTTGACACGCCAACACGAGGCTCTCCAGTTCCAGATTCAATGGATCCTACGGCTACCAACTCTCCTGCCCCAGCTGGTGATGACGCAGATGATGGTGACGTGTCTGATTCTCAAGAGGTTCCTGAGCGAAAACGATACTACAAATATCGCAAAACTCGGGACCCTGAAGAGTACATATCAGCCATCGAAAACTACGAAGACATGACCACTTCCGAGTTATACGAGATTCTCGAGGCCATCAATATATCACTTGTACAGTGGCAAAAAGAATGGCTCGATCTCGGAAGGCTGGTGGACGACCACGAAAATTCACTGCGCCGGCGTCTAGCGGATGCCAAATACGAATCTAGGACGAGAAACCCAGCTCAGCATGGTGTCAATCACGAAGAGCCAGACTTCGCTGTCAAGGGCTACAAGGCAAAGGAACGGGAACTAATGAGCGAGACTCGCTATCTTCAGGGACAGGACCGCATCATGGCTGCTACTTATGGCTTTGAATACGATCCCCACCCGTCCAAGATTGGTCGTCAGAATCCAGAGACCCAACAAGTTGGCATCATGACCAGAGGGCGATCGCTGCGTAACCAGCCAAGGCAAACAGTCAAGGCATCAGAAGCTGACGAGGTTACCGGCAAGAGACAACGCAAACCCGTTCAGCTTTTTGACCCTGCGACTCAGGATGTTAGCCGCAGCTCGACGCCAGTTCCCACACGAGGCAGAAGACGCCGGAATGTGGGTAATGCAGACGAAGGAGCCCAGGTTGCCTTCACATCGAGCTTCAATGGAGACGGAAACTCAGAGGCAGAGAACGAAGCTCCCAAGACTAGGAGACGACGTGGTCCTCGTACCAGCAATGTGGTCCCCGGCGCTACTGAGGAGTTTTCTACACCACGCAGCTCCGACAACCTTGCACAAGAAGAGACGGGCAGGTCAGGTCGCCGCCGAGGCAGACAATCTGTTAGATATGACGAAACGTATGCCGAGTTCATGGACGACGACTCTCAGCCTGAGCCGAAGCAGCGGAAGCGTCATATGCTGACGCTGAAAATACCCAGATCCAAGAATCTCAGCGAGCCTTCTTCGGCCATCACCGACAATGGCGATTCAAGACCGTCAACCGCATCATCAGAGTCGTCGTCTCATACAGCCGAGTCTTCGTATTCCTTCCGACCCAAGCGTCAGAAACGGTTCCGTGATGACCCTGATGAAACAGACGAAGCAGCCCAAGCACCACCGCGCAAGCGAGGGAAGCGAAGTGTGCCCCAGCCCTTTGGTGGTATTGAGTCATCATTTGCTCTGGATCAGCCAGTTCAAGATGCCCAAGTAGGCGCCGGAGTCCGCAAGGTTGCAAAGATCAAGGTTGTGCGACCTGCTGGCGACGCCCGCAACGGCACCCCATCCTCACAGCCTGCCGACGACAAGCCAAAGGACTACAAGAACATGACCAAGTCTGAAAAGATGTCGGCATCCATGAAGAGTAAGTACCGCATGATTTTTATCATCAGTATATACAACAGACACGCTTGGTATTAATCATTCATTCAGGTCGTTGGGCAAATGGAAACATGGCTGGTGCTGTGGAAAAGCGAAAGGCGACTCTTGCAGCGAAGAAAGCAGCTCAAGCCGCCGCTGAGCAGAAG